ATCATTAATAGGCAATCGTTCGATGGGCTGAATTGCACAAAACGCATGATTGCACCGGCTAGTCTGATGCGCGTTGCTATTTGTTACATTTTATATTGAGTAAGGGAACTTGACTGATATTGGGGCATGTGTAAATAAATCGTCTATTAGTTGCCGGGTGCAATACGCGTCAAGAAGGCATTTAGGCCAGATTATCTTTGTGTGCATATGTGTGTGTATCCATTGTTTGACATTCTATCTAACTTACATTTTAAATTTGGAATCACAAATTCCGACGTATAAGAGGCAAAATACCTGGAATTAGCCCAGTCATCTTTCCCGTCCTGACCTTGAATCCCAAATTCAAGCCTAGCCAGATATTAGAACTGGCGAATCGGAAAAGCTATAAAATCCAAGCTTTGAAAGTAAAATTCCAAAACCGACTGCAGGGCCAAAGCCGAAAAGCCCTGCGTCACGTGTTCAGGAACGTCAAATATATTTGTAATGAAAAAACAATTTCGAGCATTATTTGAGCTATGGAACTGAAATTCTACGAGAATATTGTATATTCATGCGCGTCCTATACTTTTTAAATTGAGCCTTGTAGTGCACCTAGACCTTGCGTCCGTGCAAGTAAAATTTCAATTTGGGACAACTTTGCCATCTACTTAATTCTGTGACTAAACTGAGCAGGAAGCCCTATTTTTACGAATATGTTTGGTATCCATGCACGGGCAATGAATTTTTTTAATGCGTAAAATGAATTTTCCCTTACGTATGTGCCCGCGCATGGATGCGTCAAATTTTTTAAGTTGCAATACATTTGTCGCCGTCCTCTCTCGCTAATCAGCCAGGCAACAAAGCAGGAATTTTGAGATGCTGGCTTATCTTTTGCGACGCTGAAAGTATAATACTATTTTCGCAAATCTTTGCATTTCATGAACGGGTAGCGCAGGCTTAAGGATGTAAAATTTCGTCAATTTCCTTTCACGGCATTCGTACGCGTTTGACGGCTGAAATTTTAAAGATCCACAGTGCAACACTTTCTTTTCAGCCAATGCTTTTCCCTATACGCACATGAAAAGATCAGTAAGATTATTATTAATGTGAATGCACATGTTAAATCTGCAAAGCAACAACTATTCTTACTATTAATGATTTTATTGCTGTACGAAAATGAGCAAAAGCGCGTGAACTTACTGACAATGAACGCCACAATTGGTTTAATATAAATTTTAAGAATGTGTGAAATCTGCTCGCATAAAAAAGGTGCACTCAAACTAAATTCCTAATAAATATATCTGCTTATTCATTTGTCCATTAAGTCTTACATGTGGATTTTAGAAATACCAGTGGGATTAGTGACTTTAGCAAAACTACATCAATAGCGTTCGCAGCTGAATATGAGAAGAGTAATGCATTACTTTTAAGGCTGATGCAGACACGATTGCGAAAGTGATAAGTACAAATACGGAATCGGATCCAATAACTCCCGAAGTAGCGGCCGCAGTCAGGAACATATGGCATGATCCTGCCATACAAAAGCTTTACGAAAGAAGGCACGATTTCCACTTGCATGAATCTGCCAAACAGTATGTTTCCACCAGTTGCCCAAGATAAATCCTTGCCATGTGATGAACAGATTTTTTGGGATAAGCATTGCTGAGAAAAACCTAGGTTGCTACGCACCAGGCTTGCCGATACGACCATGCGTTTTTGCTTTAGATTTGAAGCAATCAGGTTATTAACTGTGTGAATGGTTGTTGCTTTACACTTTATTTCTGTACTTATAGCCATAAATTTTTTACGAGGAAAAATGAGTAATTTTCTCTGACCGGCCATTCAGTGGAAGTGACTGGCGACGCGCAGCAGGAGGGCCCGCGCAAAAATGAGTTTTTGCAGTATTTTGTGTTGCATTAAAATCGCTTCGAATCCCAGTAGCTAAAATTTGGTGACATACTATTTCTCGAAGTTCAGGAAGTTAATTGTGCAACTGCGTGGTATTTGGGCAGGGAAAACATTTCCTTAAAAATTCAGCTTTTCTGGTTCTCAAGTTAGTAATTTTCCCGCCAATAAATTTTATGGACCTGTACGTGGAAAACACGTATAACTGGGAGCTGAATTTGAAATCTTTAAGTCCTGCGTGGATAGTTGAAATTCCCTCAAAGTTTCAGCTTTCTAGCTTTTCTGATTCTCGAGCCAGTAATTTTCCAGCCAGAAATTTTCAGGGGTCCATAGTGACAACCACGCACAACTGGGGGGCTGAATTTGAAATTTTTAAATTGTACATGAGCTGGGAACATCTCTTTAAAATTTCAGCTTCCCAACTTTTCTGGTTCCCGAGTTAGTGGCTTTTTCGCCAAACTTTCACGTGCTCGCATGCGAGACACAAAAGTGTGTGAGGATTAGTATCGCGGTTGAGGTGGTACTTGGCCGAAGAACCCACTGGCGAAACCTTCGAGCTGAAGCATGCTTGGTTGTAGAGTTAAAACACCCAGACAGGCAGACAAGTAAACAGATAGGCACACAGACAGACAGACGGACAGGCAGACACACACATCAATTGTAGCAACATAAATATCAAGCAAATAGCAATGCCATTAAGCTTTTGATTTCGTCGCCTTTTGGAAAATGAATTTACCAGAAATGGCTTGGCTGCTGACGCAAAATCTTGAAATCGATCTTCTCTTCCAGAGTTGTCTAACTTTCTGAGTTTCTACATGCCCATTAATCTTTTGGCCCACGAAGTAATTTTGTTAAGGCGAGTGTAAATCTGTACAAAACGGAGCAGTCTGGATACCAATAGTCCATCTCTTCAAGAAGAAAATAGTCCATATCACTATCTGGAAGTCGTCTCCGATTCACAGTGTAAAGGATGGTCTAGGATTAGTTATATACGTCAGACAGACAGTAAACCGTTATCGTATTTGACTTCAAGGCAAGGAAACAAGTCCTATACCCAAAGCAAATAATGTTAATCTAGAAAATTGGCCCACAAACTCCATAAGCGTTATCAGCAAAGTTGAGACAGTTGTTGATGAGAATGTCGTCAGTGTTGCGAAAGAGGTGAGGGTGTGCATTCCGTAATCGGCGTAGAAACGATATTCCACTATTTTCCGTGATTAAAAAAATTGAAACAAGAAAAGGATTTTGTTTGGACGGCTCTAAATACATTTTTTCGCAGACGACATTTTGCTCTACATGAAAAATCCACCCGTGCTGCGAATGAACTTGCGACCAGTGCAAAGGAAATTGGACGGATGAAAAACCAAGCAAATGAAAAACCCGTATTGCCTCCTACATGACAAATGAAAAAAAAAATGAAAAATCCCCATCGTGAATTAGTCCGCTGAGCTTGTGAGCAGTATGCTTGTTTGACACGAACAGTACAGACAGGTTTAGTTTTAAAGTTAAGTAGGAGAACAAGATGGAAAAATCATCAATCTCGCCAAGGACAGCATTCACCACATGAATTAATACAGTATGTGAGCTTTTAAGCGAAAAAGAATACTGCATCGTCATCAGGACTGTCTGTCTGAGATAAGGTGGTCGTATTGACGAATACTGATACCTCGCAAAACTTTTCATTATACCAAGCTAGCATGAATGTGCAACCTCAGGGATTTAATTTTACGAGTTTTTGCAACAGTTACAGCTGTCGAGATCCTCATTTTAAACACTTGGATGTTACAATCAATACACAAACGATTAACAGGCATCAATTTTCAGATTTAGCATCATCCTGCAATATTTAGTTTTGCAGCTTCTTCGATAGTATCGATCGCATTGCGGCTCCCGACTACAAGCCCAGTGAACAGGATATATTGTTGACGAGGATAAAGACAACTGGTATCGTAGAAGTTAATTTTGTTATCAAAAATGTTCGATTCAGGTTTGTGGAAACATTTTTGGAAAAAATACTCGCTGAACAGCTTTGTTGAGTGCTAACTTTCCATTTTACTGTTGCAAACTCAACGTTTCAAGCCTTCAAGCTGCATTAACGCATAATGCTCATTCTAATAAACAAACAACTCGGCTGACAAAATCAAAATCCATTCCACATTGCTCAGTTTTTCAACCTACTTGCCAAGTCCAGTAACACAGTCTCATAAAATAAAATAAGTGCAATACTTTTGCACATTGCACCTTACACTTCATGTTTTTTCACAGTTACATAACTAGAGAGAGGGACGATGTTGCTGTGAAATAAATTATCGCATATGCTTTTCTAAGAAAGGTTTCAAATTTACGGACTGTCGATGTGAAGGTTCGGTGTTACCGAAATGTGTGTATATGCACCAGCACGCAGCTAAACAAAGCGTTGTTGATCACATGTCTCAAATAAATAACTACCACCTCTTCGGATAACGTCTAATGGCCCCTTTATTCCTCGTAGGTGTTACCACCTGGCACGTAGTCACCAGTTACAGCAAAACAGAACCATCTCTCTTCCACCAATTTCCAATTATAGTATCAACCAAATCTTGCACAGCAGCGTTTGATTTTTTTAACAGGCTGTGCATCGCTGCTGTCGTCAAAGCTAACGTGAACTTTACTGCTAATGTTATTGGCCTTTGTGTCTTCGCTTCTGTACATCTTTATTTTCAATACGACGGCGATAGAATAGCAAATGCGGCTCTTTCCACTTTGACATTTTCTGTTTTCTCGCACAAAGTCGAGAATGATGTTCCCTCAACCTTAGGTTCTTATATTTCATAACTGTAGAATTTAATTATTACACAAGGCAAATACACAAACATGATTTCGCAATAATTCATTTCATTTGCATGGAAACCCGTTTTTAAAGAAATAAAATTTACAAGAAGCACTTTAGTTTCTTGGAGAAAGAGAAACATTGCAGAATATTTGATGTTGGAGGACAGCGGTCAGAACGTAAAAAGTGGATTCACTGTTTTGAAGATGTGAATGCTGTTATTTATATTGTCGCTATTAGTGAGTACGACGAAGTTCTTTTCGAAGATAATACTACTGTTAGTGACTTTTTCTGCAGATCTAAACCTGTATTTTTTTGAGCGGTGTATAGTGTAACTTTCGCTTGCAATGTCAACAGACATTCTCTTGTACAGAACAAGCGCACGCTCGCAGGCAATTAAGATCAGATACTTTGAGAGAGCAGGTAACCGGGTACGCAACCAGATATGGGAAAATGTAACCGGTCCCACGATAATCTCTCACACAGCCAGACTGCGCGTTTTTAATGTTTTATTAAAGTTATCCAGACTTCTCGCCATTCGGTGCAGTCGGTATCTGGCCAAAGTAAGGTTACCCAACAGCTAGAAAGAACTGAAAATACCTGCGCTTTGCGGATGACATAATTCTTATCACTAGCAGCCCTTGCGGAATAAACGAGATGATGCAGAATTTCACCCTGTAAAATGAGAATCATTGACGACGCGCACCCGGCGGGCCCGTGCGATCATGCGTTTTTGTAGTATTCCGTACTGTAATGAGGCTGCTCGGAAACCTAGTAGAAATACTGGTCCTCGAAGTTCGAGAAGTTAATTGTGTACGCAATACTTTGACAGGGAACATTCCGTTAAAATTTCAGTTTTCCAATTTCTCTGACTCTTGAGTTAGCAATTTTCCTACCAAAAAATTTCATGAATCCGTACAAAAAATTTCATGGGTTCGTAAAAAAAATTTCGTGGGTTCGTACATGAGAACCACGCGTATCTGGGAGCTGAATTTGATATCTTTAACTTTTACGGGGAAGGGGGAGGGCGGCTGGGAACATTCCCTTAAAATTTCAGCCCCAGCTTTCCTATTTCTCGAGTTACTCATTTTCCGCCGAAAAATTTTACGGGGCCGTAAGTGACAACGACACGTGCCTGGAGGCTGAATTTCATAAATTTTTGTCGTATATGTGCTGGAGACATTCCCTCGAAATTTCAGCCTTCTAACTTTCCTAGTTCCCGAGTTAGCGATTTTCACGCCAAGGAACCTCACGAGGCCATTCGCGGGTACCACGCATACCTGAGGGCTGAATTTGAAATCTTTGAGTTTCGTGTGAACAAGGAAACTGACCTCAAAATCTCAGCTTTCTAGCTTTTCTGGTTCCTGAGTTAGCGATTTTCCCGCCAAAACTTTCACCCTCTCGTACGCGGGGACCAGACTTGCGTGGAGGTTGGTACCGCCGTCTTGGGGTGGCACTTGACCGAGGAAACCCACCGGCAAAATTTTGACGCCGGAGCTTGCCTGTGTGCCCAGTTGAAATACCCGGACAAACGCGCGCGTGCACACACACATACACACACATACACACATACACACATACACACATACATACATACACACATACACAAACACATATATATATATATATATATATATATACAAGGAGGTCGTGACAATATGCATTTTTGCACTTGCGTATAAGCAAAAACACATCAAAGATGATGATGCAAAGCGCCGGTGTACCTACTGCAAGATTGTAGAGTAGCAATGTTGACTTGGAGAAAGTTAGCAGCCCTGCATTTTGGTTAGGAAATAAATACATGCCACAGTCCCGAACCAGAAACTGCATGGTGATGGACTGTCGGTTAACGCAAATTTCACAGCAGTGATGTCTTTAAAACGCTGAACTGGAAGAACAGCACCCGTCTTCTCAATACCACTGAGCTGAAAGCTGCAACTTGCGAATGCGAAACGTGTTCACTGGCAAGTTCCGCCAGTAACGGCGAAAAAGATTGCACAAAGGAAGAAATGTGATGGGTGTAGCGCAATAGTGAAATACTCGCGAGAAATTAAACACTCACTCGGGCAGCATTCGAAGAGGTGACGTGCATAACGTGCGGGAGACGAGTACTGACGGACGGTATACAAGGCAAAACTGAAAAGCTTGGGTAGCTACTTCCGGCGTTTGGGCGCATCTCAGTGATATCACTAATTGATTGACGGACAAAGGTCAAACCCTTCTGTATGTGCATTGTAGAAGAGTGAAACAGAAGTAACTTGAGCGGTAGTAAGTGCCGACAGTTGTCACCTGCTGGCAAGACAGTTTATAAAAAATAGCTGACGACAGGTTTTACTTCGTGGCATAAATCAGCGCTAATTTCCGACTTAAACGATTGAGCGAGTCATAGAAGACTGACAGTCCCATCCTCGACGTTAGCGCAAAAAGGTGATACTTGAAACTGTATCATACCCAACAGTATATATATATATATATATATATACTGTCGGGTATGACGGTATATATATATTTTGAGCTTTATATATACGTACATATATATATAAGCTGTCTGGTATATACATATACAACTACATATACGTATACATGTGTAGTTCAGTTATTTTGAGCTGTCCAGCATCAAAATGTTCGTTTCAGAATCGAATCTTAGAAAGTATGCGTTTATTTGAATCCATATGTAATAGCAGATGGTTTATCAGTACCTCAATTATTTTATTTTTAAATAAAAAGGATTTGTTCGCTGAAAAAATCAAAACGAAGTCAATAAGGACTGCCTTCCCTCAGTACAACGGTTCGTTTTTTTATGCCATTTCTACCTTCAGTAGTGAATTTTCTCTATTACATTTCAACAAGCATCTCATTGTTTAGCACATCGCTAGTTTTTTTGCCTTTGCTAACAGTAACATTTTAAACAGAATATTTCTGTTGGCATTTCTCACCGCAAAGACCACAAATACTACTAGCGCATGGAGTATGAAGCCTTTATTCTGCCATAACTATAGCACGACCATAACTACTTTTTTGGCGAACGTTGTTTTATAAAATTCGGGCGCATTAAATGCGGGAAAAGAACACATTGGTGCAAGTAAAACCCAAACCTGGTATGCTAACGAATTCACGGGTGGCATCATATCTTATACAAAGGATGAAGTCAAGGCGATGCTTCGGATCATTCTCCAAGAAACATACGTACAATTTAGTGGTTACGTTTTCAACCAAGTAGAAGGTGTGCCAATGAGAGGTTATGCTAGTCCGGATACTGCCAACCTCACATTATCAGTCATGAAGTATCGGTTTTTTCATAAGAATCCCAGTACTCATCTTCGTCTCTTTCGATATATCGATGACATTCTCATTAACTGCGCCAATTTTGCTGAAATCGCCAGTAATAAGTACGAGCCCAGCTTGCAACCTAACACCACCTATTCAGGACAAGGGGTTTGCTTTTTAGACCTCGAATTTTCATGCCAAGAGGGCAGATGCATTTTCTTTCTATAGAATAAGACCATAGACTGCCCATTCACAGTAAATCACTGAGCGTTTCCAGATAGTGATATAGACCAAACGGTGCAAGAAGGTGTCGTTATATCTCAGCGTCTTCGTTATGCACGTATATGCACTCTTCCAGAGAGGGTTCCATGACTGAGCTAGACGGCTTATAAGTACCTATAGACAAAAAAAGTTTGATATTGCCTAACTAGAACATTCCGTTCTCAGATTTTGTTTCAGGAACCGATCAGTACTAGGCAAATTCATCTTTCCTGATGACTCAGAAACCAAACGCCTGGTCAGCAGTCTATTCTCATAAAAAGCTCTTACTAATAACTACGTATAACGAATGTCCGTATTACGAGTTAACATCCTTTCTTTTCTTCCTCTCTCACCTTATTTGCTCCTTCACTTACTATGCGTTTTTGTTGTGCAGCGCTATAGCACTGCACAGCCAGCAAAAACGCATATTGTCGAGAGGCTATCTGTGTGTGAGTGTTCGGAAAGCGAGTGCATTTTGTCACCCACTTTCATCTCAGCAACCAGGGAAACTGGGAGGCTAAAACTTTGGATATACGTTCCTACCCCGTGTATCACCCTCCCATTTTAAGATCTTTCTCCATACGCGCCTAGAGCCCGCGTACGAGACCACCAAAGAAATATGTTGGCGGGAAACAATTTCGCGAACCAGGCAAGGTAGAAAGCTGAAACTTTGCAGGGATATTCTCTGTGCACGTGCGAGCCAACTTTTTAATCCTAGCTGTCGACCCATCCCCCCCCCCCCCCCCCCCCCCCCCCCCCCCCCC